AAATCCATTGTTTGATTTTGTGTTTGTGTTGGTGGGGTTTTGTGCGTGGTGGTAGTGCATGGTGGTTGTGGGGGTGGGGGGGATGTGCCTACCTATATTTCCTTGCCACAAGCGGTTTTCTGGCAACTGTGCCACAAGCTGGATTCTGGCAGTTTACAAGAAATTGTGGCATACATGCCGCAAACTTTGTGGCAACCTTGCCACATTAGTTGCCACAAGTGCTAATTTGCATGCGAAAATATGCATATGCTGCAAGTGTGCCGCAAATCACTTGTGGTACACACGCCACAAAGTTGTGGCAAGCTTGCCACAAGTATGTGCCAGAAGCCTTGTATTTCCGTAAGGGATTTTATAAACAGTACAAAAAATATCAGAAACTGTTTGATAATTTTTTTTGATATCCTGCAATAAAGATTCAATAAATATATAAACACACCGCTTGCGGAAATCCTTCATGGATAATCCAAAATAAATTGTGAAAAAATGTTGTCAGTTACTGAGTGATGCATTATTTTCATACCAACAACCAACAGACTTGACCTAACAAAAATTGCTCTATACATGCCTAAGAATACTGATGCAGTTCGAAAGTGGCTGACAGTTCTAACGAGGCCAGGAATGTCAAAAACATCTGCTGCATAGCTATACTAAGTGGAACCATCAGTCAGTAATAACAATCAAACTTAACACTATTAAAATCCAGAAAATTATACTTAAGTCTCTCAACATCCCTCGTACATAAATTAAATTAGAATTGAAGTTAATACGACTTACTTAGGATAAGAAGGGTTTACTTCTCATTAAAGAGAAAATTTTGAATCAATATTAAGAATCAATATCACAATAAGAAATATGTTTACTATTTATTGAACCAGTAATTGTATTACTAAGTACCCATGAGTTCTCAAGGTTAATAAATATATGACGTTTGAACATGATATGTACGTGATATATCGTCGTAACAGCATTCATTAAAACAAAATGGCCACCAGTTGGTCATTTTTAATCTAATTTAAAAAACAAAATGACAAACATCTCAAAGTGCATTTTGTCCACTGTATGTACCAAGAATGAAAATCCATCTATCCATACAAAATCCATCCATACACGGTTGAGATCCGGTTTTTGGAATAGCAGATACACGTTTGTTTTGGGTGATTTTTTAGAACAAAAAATGGCAGCTATTCGGCCACCTTAATTCATGAAAGATGCGCATTACATAATCCAAAATGTTACAATGTGATTGGTCTATAGACATGATTGTGACAATAGTAAAGACATAAACATGGATGCACTGACACACACACAAAGGTCAAATCATAAGTCCCCTTTTTTTGGACCTTGTCTGCACAGGGAGTAATAATGCTTTCAAATACATGCATTAAAGATTTGGTTTTTTTTTTATTCCAATCTTTCTGAAGGAAAGTACAGACAATAAACAGGATTATTTTGTGAATTTGAAAAAAAGGGAACTGGTGGTGAAAGGTATGCTGTGTTTCCTCACTTATCTAGAATTACTTTAAATTGCTTTAGTTTTGTGAGAGAAAAATGTACGCAAATTAGGGGAGTCAGTCAAAAGTAAAAGCGCTTTGGGGGTCACTAACATATACAAGGAG